TGCTGAGACTTTTTCTTAGAGTGTAGAAGTGAAAAAGCGAATTAGAGTAGGTAACTGAGGTACACGTGAAAATCAAAAAAAAATTAGCAACATTTAGACAAAAATGTGATTTACGATTTCAGTAAACAAAGCCAAAAATTAAATTCTGAAACAGATATTTGCTAGATGGTGTCTAAAAGTGCCAGAGTAAATTTTGAAAATGTTAAAGTTGAACGGAACGATTTTTTAGGATATTAGTGTACATAACTTCAATTTCTTGTGATATTCCAGCAAATCTAAAGATATGTTTCTATGTTTCTTTTCGCTACATACACTCTTATCCGTATTGAAAATTTCTAACGGAAAAATATTTTCAAAGCTTGCCGGCCACTTGACTTTAAGCCTTATTAAGCTTACTCAGCTTTAAGTTTAACAATTAATTAATTTTCGAAAGCTTAAAGCTCATGTTAGGAACTTCCGGCAAAGCTTTCGTATAGCAAATGCAAACATTTCCTGCAGATGTCGCTTCATATGATACTCTAAAGTAATTTTATCAGGCAGCTAAGACTCAAATAAGTCCTTGCAGCTTTTGTTTCTACATTTTGCCGCATTATCAAAGCAAATTAAAAAGAAAACCTGCGGAAGAAACAGCACGTGCCAAGCGAATGTGGTGGAAAACAAAGCCGAAAGCAGATGAAAACAAATAAGAGAAGCTTTGTTATTGCACGTTTCCGTTAGCTACAGCTGCGCTGGACGCGGCATGCAACTGAATTACGTGCTTCCGCAGCCTTACGCGTTACACGCACGTGCGCTAAGATACTATATTTTTATTTATATATTTTAAACGCTTTTGTTAATTTTTAATTTTTATTTATTTTATTGCCTCACACTCTGATTTCCACTACCTCTTCATTTCTCTTCGTTTCTGCTTCATTTGCCTTTGTGCTCGCATCGGCGCTGCCGTCGGTTTCTTTGCCGGCATTGTCCTTTCGACGCGTAATTAGTTCACTGGGGCATGTAGCAAGCACGCACACTCACAAACACACGTGCAAGCATAACGATATGAATATTGCACATTCCTCCATTCCTTCATTCCGCCATTTCGCAATTCCACATTCCTGAGTCGCACTGGAAGGCGCGCAGGAAGCCAATGCGGATTTCCATGCCGCTGCACGTGCCACTCCGGCGTCGTGCTCGCTGCCTCGACGTGGTTGCTGTTGTTGTTGCAGTTGCGCATAGTTGCAGCACACATGCCACATGGTTCCGCGTGTTGTTGCCGCGCTTTTTGTCACGACGATTTCCTATGCTAACAATTTAAATGAAGCTAAGTGATTTACGACTTCGAGTCATTTCGCTGCTTTTTCTTTCGCGCTTTCCTCCTCTTTTCTTCGCCACAGTTTTGTGTACTTGCGTACTTATGCCCCATATTTCAGCGTTTTTTCTTTCGGTTTCATCAAATCGCAATTTTCCCACTGCATTCACTTGCAGCTGCGGTCTCTGCGGTGCTGCGGCTCAGTCGCTCCCGTTACTCCAGCTGCGCTTTGGGGAATCTCATTTGCTCCATTTTTGCAACAAAGTCGAGTAACTTCAGCTGCTGTGCCCGGGTGTATGTTGTAACTGCGTTCCTTCCAACTTTCGCAATTCTTTTGCTGCGCTCTGCTCCCGCGCTGCCTTTTTGCTGCCCTTTTAATGCTGTGGTTATTAGTTAGCCAGCAATTGTTACGCCTCCACTGCGAGTTCTTAACCTGCGACCTACTAACCTGCTGTTTGCCGCAATTTCACTTTCACTTTTGCAGCTGTTGCTGTTGTTGCAGTAGCAACTCTGGAATAACTTCGCGTTGATTTTCGTTAGTTGACTTGTGCTGTTTCTTTCAGCTCTGGCTTTTTAATTTGTGAAAGTCATGCCGCGACGGCAGTCACCCACTCTGTGGCATGCAAAGTAATCATCATTTGTTGCACATAAGTACACAGACCGCCATGGCGTATACGCAACCTGCATGGAGCAGAGCAATTAATTGGCTGGCAGTCATTTGACTCGCTGTGTGGTTAACTGACCCGCTTGCAAATAAATTTAGTTAAACAAAAAATCAAACTTTATCTATCTATTTATGTATCTCTTATTATCGCCCACACACACACGCGCACAGTGCAATGTTATGCCGTTTATGTGCTCGCTGCTTATCGCCGCAATGTATTTGCATTCCGCTAAGCTTTTTATTCCATTGCTGATGTATAATTTTAATCGAACTGCATTGCAATAAATTGGAGACTGCCATCTCCCCCGCCGATTGCCTGCTTTGCTGCAATTTGCCAGCAGCACTGATAAGCGTTGAATGGCTTCATTTGCGGACTTTGTTTGTTGAATGAATCAATTATTTGCATGCGCACAAAATAATATGCGACACAAACATACATACACACACAAAAAAATACTTACACGCACAAATTTAGAAAGCGTCGCAATATTTGCACTACGACGCATTTGATTTTGCATTTGCCTCAATATTTACATGGCAAAAGTGCAAACATAATTGCGGTCACTCAAATATATTCCAGAGTTCTCTGTAAAGCTCATTTTGGTAGCAATCGCCATAATTTCAATCATATTTTTGAATAATTATGCTCTGCTAGATATAACGGCATAAATGGTTGTGCTCCTTGTTTGCTTCTGTAAGTTTATTTTGGCATTCGATGGCAATAATGTCCACTGAGGTTGAGATATTTTGAGCTTAACGTTTATATTCCGCTTATAAATGTTTTCACACACTCACACATGCAAGCGAACTTGCCATTTATTTAATTTAGTTCAATATAACATTTACCTCAATGCATTTATTTCTGTTGTTGAGGTATTTGCAAGGGCTTTCAATGCATTATCGCTATTTTAATTAAATTCAATACAAATATGTTTGCATTCATATCAGCAAAATATCATATTATTTTAAAATTAATAATTCAGTCAATCAATTAAAATTAGTTTTTCACAAACAGTACATTACGATTAATCTGGTTGTATAATCGCCTTGTCTTCTGAATCACAAGAAAATCATTTTTAAAACTAAAGATAAAACTGCTTTTAAATTTGCCTATAAGTGGTTAATACTGTTCATTATGCTTGTTAATAAATATATTTTGTAATATTTTAGTTATCCGACAACAACCCCATTAGGTTCTGAACGGTTGAGAACAAAAAATATAATAACAAGTCTGTTCTTTTTGAAGTAACTTCATTAATGATGCAGATTTACAGACCTTATAGCTAATAAAAAGTAGGTTAAAATATGAGCTAATGAGAAGAGTCAAAGTGTGTGTGGTTGTTGTTACGTAATTAAAGAGAAAAAATTTAGTTTAGAGAATGTCTTTGAAAGAAAAATCAGTTAGCAATCGATCAAATTGAGCAAACGACAAAGAGACGTGAGAAGAGAAGTCGGAGAGGTATATATGTAGGAGAAGAATATATGTGCAAGTTTTGGTAGTGGGAGTACTAATGTTGGCTTAATTTTCTTAAAAAGCTAATACAAATATATTCAATTACTCAGTTTACATTTATTTTTATTTAACTGAAACCAAAATTTTTAATGGAAATAACTATCATCAGTCATATCTATTTCCCAATAAAATCATATTCTGACCGCCCGTCGCTTTACTTGAACACTTCCTTCTTGGCAAAAAAAGTTTGTGAACATCTCACTAAATTCATAAATGCGCATAATATTCTAACTCTGGCACACTCAGTAGGTATATAAAATATATGCTAGTAAATAAGTATGAAAATTTACACAAAACGAAGCAGTTTAAAAATAATGCAGAAGTAATTTGCTTCGACAGTATCATTTTTTGTACTAACTGAATAATCGAAGGTTATGAAAGCATATTAGAGTGGGTAAAATACACCGATTATTTTATTTCTCATTTTATATTCCGCAAAACCGGTTGGAAGACACCTTAAAAAATTCTATAAATTCCATTAGCACTTAATATTAATAGGAAGGTCTTCCATTTTCAATTCCCTTTTTTTTCCTTATTATAAGAAGAAATATTCATATCGCACTATCAACTATTTCAAAAAAATCTCAACTCTTATCTTACTTATATTTTTAGGAAATTGAATTCTTTACAAAAGATATCCAACAATTTTTTCGACAAAATCACCGCTCATAAGTTATTAAAGTGTAAAGTTTAATTATTCTAAGGCACTTTGATGTTTTTCCATGATTTTTACAAATCGCTAACAAGGAATTGTTTTGGTCCACATTATGGAGCAAAATGTGCGAAAGTTGAAAAACAGCTACTCTAAAGTATACAAATGCTATTTTTTTTTTACCAGCAGTGAAGACGAAATGCAGGATTGGTATTATATAAGAAGGGTAAAGACCTTCCTTGAAAATTGAAAGCCATTTAATACGTATGAAGATTATTATCACTGTATTTTAGGGTTCGAACGGCATTCTATTTAAGAAATCACAAAAAGGGTCAATTTAACTCTCTACAAAAGCAACCAAAATTCAAAGACTGGAAGATCAGAATGTCGGAATGCGTTGCATTAAGTGACAAATTGTGACTGAAGAAATCCATCACATATCAGATAAATCAAACATTGATATGTTTAAGTGAAATAAGATTATAATTGAAGAGTTATACTAAAAATTATTTTAAAGAGTAAACTTTTATTGGTTAAAAATTGTGAACGATTTTCTTCAGAATAATATGGGTCGTTCCGTAAGTTTATGATTAGGAAAGGCGGTGTTTGGCAATTATAAATTTTATTAGTTATATTTTAAAAAGTTTTAATGGCAAATGTAATTTAATTATCTGTCGAATTATATTTTGATCAACATATATTCCTTTTTGTTGAATATATCACGAATGTGTACTTATTTCTGAAAATGCTTCATTTCAGCGCCATTTACTCATTTGGTATTGCATTTTTCTAATATCTATGTTTAAATTAACATCACAAAAGCAACTGGTACTCACCATTTTTCTTCTTTACTTTTATAATAAAAACACAATAATTTTTCTTTAAATACATATATTTTATATAATTTCGTTTATTTATTTGATTTCAGCTATTTATGTACAATTCAGAATTTCTCCGTTTTTCAATCTAATTATCTTATTTATGCTCGAAGTTATGAAAATTAAAATTTATTGCATTGAAGTGAACGTTTCTATAAAGACATATTTTGTTTTGTTTTTGTTTGTATATACGTTTCTTTTATATATACAATTTATTTACTAATTGATTGGTAAAATTATTGTTTGCAATCCTTGCTTAGCCGTCTTGCGAGTAATTGCAGCAGTTCTCAAATAATATAGCTTTACAGTTAAAAAACGGTTTCCTCTCTACGAACTATGAGTACATTTTTCTTTTGTATTTGTTTATTAGTTTCTTCTACGCATAAAATCTGCTTTAATAACTACGCGAGTATATATACACGACTCTTTGCCGAAGCTGTTCTCATTTTTGTGCCTCTCAAACCGCAATTATCTCAATTGCGAATGGCTACAAATGTCTTGTTCTTTGATTATCGTTAGGTTTATGCGCTTCTCTAGTAAACTTATTATCTTTTATCTACGTTTAGTTAGAGTATGTATATATTATTTGGTGTAAATTAAAATACGAGTAAATCTTAGCTGCCCTGTTAGTAAAATAAAAATATCATTTGAGTTTAAGAGAAAACGAGTATAAATGAAAAGAGGCTTTCTCTTTTTTTTCTGCTTTGTCTTCATATTAACCGTAGTAGTTCATTGGCGGTTGAGTGGGATAGCTTTTGGGGCCTTGAGAGCTTGAGGAAGATCCAGAGGACCCGGAGGAGCTGGAGGATGGATTCTCACTGAAGAGGCCGCCAAAGTTGCGCGAGCCCAATATTTCGCTAATTGGATTGCTGCCGCCGGCGCGGTTGGCGCTGCTGCTGCTGCTACCGCCGCCACTAAGCAAGCTGCCCAAGAAATTGCTGGCACTGCCACCGCCACTGCTACCAGAGTTGCTGCCGCCACCACCACCGCTCAGAAGACTGCCCAAGAAGTTACTGGCGCTACCGCTACTTCCAGCGTTGGCCCCGCCTCCACCACCCAACACGCTGCCGAGTAGACCACCAAGAATATTGCTGCCAGATGAACCGCTGCCTGAGCCGCTGCCACCACCACCGCCGTAACCGCCACTTGGCTGGTAGCCACCGCTTGGTTGGTAACCGCCGTTAGCACCACCATTAGCACCGCCACCGCCGCCGCCACCACCTTGCAAGCTCTTCGTGATTTGGCCTGCAATAATACCAGATACAGCCTGACTTACCGCCGGGTTGGAGAAGAAGCTAGAGAAGAAGCCGCCACCTTCCTTGTCTTTCGGTTTCTGCGGCACTTTGTCACCGCTGCCATAACCCGGTGCATTTGGAACGTAGCCACCGCTACCACCAGCATTCGGATTGTAGCCACCGGGTTGGTAGCCGCCGGGTTGATAGCCACCGGGTTGATAACCACCCGGCTGATAGCCTCCTGGCTGGTAACCGCCGGCTGGTGGCTGATATCCGCCCGGTTGTGGCTGGTAGCCACCGTAAGGGTTTGATGCGCCTGCTGGCGGGCTGTTTGGCAAAGTGGGATAGAGACTGTGTCCACCTGAACCGCCGCCACCGAAACCACCACCGGTATTGCCGCTGCTGCCGCCATTGAAACTGTTGCCATCACCAAGATCGGGCACTGGTGCGCTTGGATTGTACGAGTTGTGTGTGGTGCCGGTGCTCACTAGGCGCAGGCGCGTTTGTATTGATCAAACACATGTTTACACGTATATGCGTGTGTGTGTGCGGGGGTGAGTTGAAAGTGTAGTTTTTACATTGGCGAGGTTTGCAAAGCAAGCGACAGTTTTTAGTGAATTTTTTTTAGTCGTTTTAGCCACAATTTAGCAGAGCGAAAGAGCGTGTCGTGTTGAAGCAGAGATTTAGCCACAGAAGCGTTAAAACGGAAAAAACAAAAAAACAAATGTAAAAATGTTTACTAATATACAACAACAAAGCAAAGTGTAAATTACATTAATAAGAATAACAAAAGTTCTACTAAACTTATATGCAGATGAACTAAGTTACCAAAAACCTAGTCTAAAATGTGATGGCTTTTGACATAATCCATGACCACAGCTCTTCTAAATCTTTGAGTCCTGAATGCTACTTAAAACTGAATCTTAGAATATTTGTAATTTCGAAGAGGTTTTCCCTTAGATTGGCATTGCATTAGCTTTAGTTCTAGTTCTTGAATTAAATTTTAAAGCGAGTAATGCTATGTTTAACATTTTATCATGAGGCGCCATTTTTTGTTTCGAGCATTTACTTAGAACAGCGACATCTTCGGTGCTAAATGCTAGTATATTAGGAGTCCCCCTTTACCTTTAGCAGAGATTTTTTCACAGTAGAAATATTCTCTCAAAGCTATCGCTCTCACTCAGAAATATCAGAGACTAGCCACTGTACACCCAGGAGTGACGGTTATTAGAAAATATTTTTCGATAAGGCTCAGGTCTTGAAAGAACATTTACCATCTGAAATGTGTGAATGTATCCAAAGACCGGCATCTTTTGTAAAAAGGACGTCAAGCAGACACAAAAGCGAGCGATAAGGCATCATTACTGGTAATGAGACGAGGGTTTATGAGTATGAACTCCAAATTGTTAAGTAACAATTAACATATGTTACATAACAATAACATTTGCTAGTGTCACTAAAAAAATAGAAAGAAACCGAAACCGTCTAATCTCATTGAAGGTACTGAAGATCATTCCAGCCGAAGCTTATGGCCAGTGTTTATAAATTGGATCAAGCGTTATACTTGTATTGGCTCAGTATCCTATTTTGAAGGCGATAATAAAGATTTGAATAAAAATAGGAGCAATTTTATTTTTTTTGCCAGTCCGAGTCATATTTGATCAATTGGTAACGTTCAACTAAAAAACAATAACATATATGTACAAGTATATTAGGGTGGAGCGAAAGTTATTATTTTTTTTTTGCTTAGCCTGAGGGTAAAATCTGTAGATTATAAATAAAGAAAATTTTTGAACAAACAATTTTTTTTTAACATCTAGAGGCGGCGCACGCAGCTTTAAAATAAATTTCGAGTTTAAATTTTTTTTGGACAAAAAAAAATTATTTTTGGTTTAAACTCTTTATATTATATTTATAAAAATTACCGAATGTGATGGCTTTTGACTCCAAATTTATTTTAATGCTTAAGGAAAGCTACAAAATGTTTAAGATATTTTTTTAAAACTCCAATAGTGACCACAAAAAATTTTTTAAGTTGATAACTTTTAATTGGCCAGAAATAGGACTCTACTGAAATAAATATTTATAATCGACAAATTTTATCCTCAGGCTAAGAAAAAAAGTTTTTTTTTTCGCTCCACCTTAATATATATGATTTTGTATTATTAACCAATTATTTTTTACACGGACTACTTTAGACGGACTTTTCAAGTTGGGTGCGAAATTAAATCGAAATCGAAGCAAAGGTCAGGCCTTTATAAAAGGGCTTTACTGGTGTAAAAAGCACTGAAAATATGTTTTTTATTTGTTATAATCATTTAGGTGTCTACAGTGAAGTAGACGAAGTCAAATATTTGAAATACATACAGAACCCCTTCGGAAGGTTCCATGACGCCATAAACTACAGAAATTCATCACATTTTAGCTATGCTCTTTAATATGCCTGAAAAGCGTCATTAAGCGTATATTAAATTTTATAACTGTTAAATGCTAAAATACTTGTACAAATATGCTTACACTTAGTAACGTGTAATTGTAGTTCTAAAACGCCGCTTTTTGTTAGGTCTTACACAGTTACTCTCGTTTGTTTGTATTTACTAATTAAAGCCGTCACGCTAATAACACACACTCTCACAAAGATACGTTGCCACTTAATTTTATTTCGTTGAATTTTCTAAAGTTTAAGTTGCAATCTTTTTTGTTTTAATTAAATGCTAAACAACTTTTCAAGTTCACTAAATATTATAAGTCTTCGGTTGTGTATTGTTAATTAAGTAATTATATAGCTAAATGGTTTAGTATTTACCGCCTGTTACATATGTACAAATTGAGTTAAGTTTTTAGTTTTTTTTTAATATTTTCATAATTTCGTTAGTAGTAATTGCCATTAACAATATTCGCTTTTGTTGTTGTTGTTAGTTATTTTGGTTATGCTTAAAATGAACACAATTATATGAGAGGCATAAAATGCTAAATTCAATACGAAATGCCCATTACTTTGCCGTTAAATATAATTAGTAGTATTGTATCTATAAATATAAATATATGTACACACATACATATGTATATATACCCAACTGTACATATTTTGGTTAGAGATTAGTACTTTGCTATTGGTTATGGTATGTACTGCCGTTAGTTGTGAGTTTTTAATGCCGTTATGCGTAAAAAATGTTAGTAGCTTAAACGATAATTATTTATATTATTAATAAATTAATTTGATTGCATTTGTTGAGTTCAGTTGGCAGCTTTTGCTTCAGTTTCCGCATTTGCCATTTTTCTTACAAATTAGTTTTTATTTGTGTGTATGTGAGTGTGTGTGTGCGTCTGTGTGTAAGTGCAAATGAGTAACAACGGACGGAAATATAAAAATAAATTTACAGTTTTCGTTAAATACTTTTGTGAAAAAACAAAATTATTTTTATTTGCTTTGGATAACGGTAAAATAAAGTTTTATTTATGATTTGCATACAAAATATATTTGAGGTAAACAGAATATCTGATACAATAGTTGCTTTAACATTCCTTAGTTAAAAAACAGAAGTTCGAAAACTCTTTTAAATGCCAACACCTTGCAACAATATTCCTAGTTTTTATATACTTATATATAATATATAATATATATAAATATATGATATTGATTTTATATTTATTTACAATGTTTATTTGTATATTTTTGTTTCAATTCATTTGATTTGATTTTGATTTTGATTTAGTGGTTGCCATACATTTCGAAGAATTTTAGAGTTTTTATCCAACTCTTCATATTTAAATTTTTTTATTGTTGTTTAATTTTTATATTTTATGTTTTTTTTTCATAAGTTTCTGTAATCGTTTTAAAAAAATTTAGCTTTGAAAAATATGCCTGAAAATCGAATTGAAAGTTTTGCTTTAAAAGCACCCGAAAGGCCAAAAGCAGGTGATAAAAATATATTTAGTTTTACAATAATATTAAGTAGAATTTTTAGCTTCTTCTAGTTTTTGAAAAACAAAAGAACTTTAGTACATCTAGAAGCTTTACGAAATTATAGTGCATTTTATCCGGCATATAGGTATTTAATTGAGATTTGATTTTTTTTTGTTTTGTGGCAACTCCGTTTAGAGTTCTTTTATAGTTTAGTATCTTACATTGGTTCAACGTTTCTAGTGGGTCAATTCAGTTGTAAATTTTCTTTCCAAATTGTGGAATTTGTTAAAATAATATTTTTTATGATGAGATTTAGTATTTTTCGCTGAAAAATGAAAATTTTTTTTTTGTTTAAGACATTTGGCATTAATTCTTTAGATACAAATTCATGTATATAATTACTAGTATGTGCTTAACTTAACTATACAAAGTTGAATTATTTTATTATTTTTTATTTATTTAACTACCTTTTTGCTTTTTATGTGAATTAATTTTTCGTTTACTTAAAATAAACTTTTTTTTCGTTTGGTTTTCACTAAAAATTCGTTGTGTTCAAAATATATGCGAAAATTTTCTCGAAACTGCCTTCAAAAAACATTTGTTTTGTAAGCGATTTTTTTCGATATTAAAATTCGTTATAATTTGAACATACATCTGGTTGTGCAAATACGCTCATTTACAATATTTAGCAGTTGAAAAAACTTTTGAAATACTTCCAAATTCTGCGAAGAAGAGCAGAGCCCAAAAGGAAGCTTGTAATTTAATTTCTTACTGAAAAAGTTGGCGGAAGTTTGCAGTTAACTTTCCAGAGTGAAACCTTGTTGGAATTTTTGACTAACGCTCCCAAAACGCTTACCTACGACACCGGAACAGTTATAAGATTATATATTTTATAAAATTTATTACCGATTGAATAAAATATACTTTTGAGAGCAAACATTAAGCAATTCAACCATTACAATTCTCATATTTTCAGCAACTGAAATCCTCCTTACAAAAATTCCTTTATTTGCATATTTTAGATGAAAAGAATGCAGTGTAATCCTAACAGTATGCAAAGGAATCTGCTGAGCTAGAATTAAATATCTCTCCACACAAGTGGGAGAAATTTTCGAAAATCGATTACGAATGTTGTGCACAATTTAATTGCATTTCCTTTGTGAGATGGACAAATAGAGAAATGCAAAGTTTCTAAGGGCACACGCCCTCACAAAAGCAAACATGAGTTCAAACAACAACAAAATGTAGAAAATCTGGATAACAGTACCATCAAATACATTTGAGAAATTCAATTAGCAGTGGAAGAAATGGGAAAACACTAACAAGTTTCCGAATTCCAAAAATTAAAAGATTTGAATATTCTGCAAAATTAATTTTCTAAGCAAAAGATGAAGAGCGATAAGTGTAGTGAAACATTTTAAATATTCATTCAAATTTGTTCGTACAAATTCAGACATATGTACATTTGTAGTTTAGCTAACTGTTCAGTGTTGGAACCAACTAGAGTGCGTGGTGATGGCGGCGTTGACTAATATTCAACGCTGCTTGTCCAAAGCCCATGCGACGTCCGCCGAAATTTTTCTCACCCATCGTATAAGAGTTGGGAATGCTTTGCCAACCCGAGTTGGGCCCACCAAACTGTTGTCTATTGGGAAAATAGCATTGCCAATTGCCATCACTGTGCCCATCCCCATTCCGACTTGACCAGGTGCATTCATACTTCTTGTCTTTGTTCGTTCCCCTGAGCTCCCATTCCGGGTTCACTACCCATTACGGACCCCAACTACCTGACCAACCTGTCTTCTTGTCTCTGTCGATGGGTATAATGCGGGATCTTCTACAAAGTTTAGGAGAATAAGGAAGTGGTAAAATTAAGACAAGAGAAAGAAAGGCTGTGCCCTGGCGCCATGAAGTATCTTTATGTGTGCATTTTTCCACGAATAGTAACCCTTTTTATGGTACATAAATAATGTACAACTTCCTGAGAAGCTTATAGCAGTGTTGCATTGATATCATTTGTTTGGCTTTCCACCTACTTAATCAGGTGCACAAAGTTTGTATTTGTGAGCAGCTAACCGTAATTATTGTTACTATAATTATTGTTGCTATAATAATCGTAATTGCCGCCATAGTTATTGTTGTTGTAATAGTAATTCCCATAGTCATTACATACATTATTATTATTGTAATTGTTGTTGTAATTATAGAAAATTGCCCGTCTTGACGGCGCCACAAAAGTCGGGTAGGGATAGTTCCCCGATGGTCTGTAGAAAGAAGGTGGGTAAGAAGACCACTGGTTTTACACTAATCGTCTCACCGCCACCATTTAGACGAGGTAATCCAGGTACTGGCAGCGGTGCTATTGGACGTACGACAATAAGTGGTGGCAAATGATTAACTGGCATTTGAGGTTTTATGGGTATCATTGAAGAAGCTGTTGGAATCAGTGAAACCGGCCTAACGATGGGTGGCCTGGGTAGCGGTGGTAGCAAAACTTGTGGTGATCGCACTGAACAGTTCTTTGGAATAGAAAGAGGGAGAGAGCTAGCGCTAATTATTACTTCACAGAGCTTTAAAGTTTCCTTGGAAACCTTGATATCAACCTTGAGAGAGCATTAAAAGAACAACAGAAAGTATCGCATAAAAATGGATTGTTTGAGAATATCGAAAGAGAGTGTACTAAAAGGATCTCATGTACTTATTAAATATCAAGAGCTGCATGTATGGCTGTTGAGTATAGAGGTAGAATCACAAAGTAGGTAGAATCACAATCAAATGTAGGCAACGCTTTTGTCAATACCTAAAACATAGAAGACTCATAGAATAAAACTTTTTAAAATTGTACGCCTTGTAATAATTTGGAAATAATGAAAGTTTTTTTGATCAAAATTTGATTTCGATTTGAGCTCTGCTATCACAGCGCAGACTTCCAAAGTATTTCAGTTTTCTCATTCCTTGTTCAAACACTTTATAGTATGCAATAAAAAAATATTGTTCATTACTTATGGTATTATTATAGTCCGCACCGTTATGTTTCCATTACATGATTTCGAATGGATATTTTAAAACTACAGCAACGAAAGGGCAAAACAACAAAAAGGTAACCGAATCAAAGTGCAAAATAAAATGTAATATCATTTAACCCATTAAGCGCTTAATAAACGTTGACCGTCGATAACAAGACTATAACATCTCTGCCACAACGACGTCGCATGCAACATTACGTGCTGCGACCGCAGGCCAAACGCTGCGATACAAACGCCGTCAATAGAGCGTAACCGCATGCAACAATGGTCAGCGTCTGCCAACTAGTCGCACCACCTCGATGCACAGCGCCCGATGGATGTCCCTGTGTCTGGCGATTGTACGGGTTCTGGTTTTGATATTGCGGCGGTGGTTTGTTGTACATGTTCGGATTTTGATAGCCTACATTGCTGTTGCCGTAATAGCCGCTAGGCGGGGCCAAGCCGCCTCCGCTGCCGCCGAGTATGCCGTTGCTGCCACCGGGCGGGCCACCAGTGCCGCCTGGCATTGAATAGTAGGGCTGCTGGCCGAACACGAACGACGGACCGTAGGGGTTGACGGGCTGCAGTCCGACCGGATAGCCGGGATTCAGTACGCTACCTGGATGATTAGGTTGGGGAAATTGTTGAAAAGATGGTGCTAGTGTGGGTGAATTATAGGGGAAAATGGGCAGATTGGGTAAGATCGGCACCGACTGCGGAGCGCCGAACACATAGTGCGGGTCAATGCCACCGGTGCCGCTATTCGGGCGTAATTTTTGACTATTGCCGGGCGCACTGTTGTCATTGCCGCTGCCATCGTGACCGTTGCCATAATTCGAGTTAACATTGTTGCTACTCTTGCTTGCATAACCGTTATTTATGTTATTAAGACTGCCACCGGGTGATGAATTGCTGCCACCGTTGGCCGATGACGCGCCGCCATTGCCGGTGTAGTATGTGTGCGTGTTAAGCGTGGGGTTGGATGAGGCGGATGAGAAGATGGCGTGCTCGGGACCAGGCTTGAAGCTTGATCCTGGGCACGATTAGAACATTTAATACGTGTTACGATGGAGATTGCGGGCAAGTGGTGCAATGATATTGTTTATTTACGATGAATTTTTAATTTTTGATTTTGTTATGCAGCAACCAGAGAGCCAGAGAGAGAGAGAAAGAGTATAAAATGCGTTTGGTTAGTTAAGAGCAGTCAAGGAGATGAAGATGTTAAAAATATATATGTACGTTTACGTAAGTTTTTATATGTACTACTCTTCATGCAAGCGGCAAGTAGCTTAGAGACATGCGTGGAAGACAGTAGAATGCAGAAAATCTCAAAAGAAATATTTTTTAAAAGTGATTTGATAAGTGCGTGCGATTAATAACAAATATTACAATGCATACTTTTAGGCGTGTAAGCACATATTTATTTTCGGTTGCAACAACAAATACTAGCATATACTTAATGTTTATGATTATGATATCAATGCTTGGGTAGTGACTGCAGCAAATAAAGAATTCATACAACCAAATAGTTGAATTAAAAATATAATTTTTTGAAGAAAGCAACAACGTTTTGTAATATAATGAAATAAACGTATGTATGTTATTAGCTTTTGACGTTGCCATTGTAAACAAATTAGTATTATTTTCGTGATTTTCATGAGTTTTGTGTTGTGATGTGTCCAGTTTTGCGGTAAAATTTGCAAGCGTTCTCAGGCCAATTCTTAAGTGTAGCTTAGCCATATTCATTTCAAACGTTTTTAACCATCTCGATTTAAGCTTCTGGTGAAAGCTTGCTCAGTGTCCTATGAAGCTCTAATAAAGCTCCTAAAGCTCTTAAAAACTAAAAATTCTCTAACTTCTTATTTGAAATTTTGGGAATTAATAAAAAAAAGTTTCTGTATTCGATTTGTTAGCTGTTGCTCATATTTGAGGTTGAAATGGTGTGCAGAGCTCAAATATAAGTATTTAGTAGGTGTTATCATAAAAATTTGTCATAAGGACTTTATACATGAAAAAAGCTTGTATTAATTTGTAGCATTTTTAAGAGAGCTTGTGAGCTTGAAAAAAATATCAGCAGAAAATTTCGAAAGCTCTTCTAGCAACTTTCGATTTCTTCAAAATTGTGATTGCGTATAGTTTCAGAAAGCGTAAAGAGGGCACTGATAAGTCTTTGATCTTTTTTTGAAATCGTTAAACAATTTTTATTTCAAACAACTGATATTAATTTAGTAAGATGAATTTAAGAGTCTTAAGATTTTTTTTTTAATTATATCTAATTATTTAAGTGAAAACTTGGGCCTGTATACTCAACGTAAGTAAGTCATGTGCTGAAGAGTACGAGAATGCTATTTTTTACTACTAAATTATGCTAAATCTTTCTGCTCAAATTTTTAGCGATTTTTGAGAAACAGATAATTCTTTTAATAATTCCCAAAAAATAAAAATAAAATAATGTAGCCAAATGATGCCTTACGGTTGACCTACAGGTACTAAAATTGAGTATTTCTTCTTCACCAAAAAAAAAAATTAAGAAAAATTAAAATAAAATAAAACGTAAATAATAATCACCTGACGGATTAACTGGCGCCGAGGACGACGAGCTGGAGCCGGATTTCCTCTGACATTTCGGGTAGTTGCCGCAGTCCTTGCCCTCGCGCTGCGTGTAGCTGCACGAGTCGCTGCTGATGACGCACTCCTCACTGGGCAGACAGCCAATGTCGTTGCAGCCGCGTCCATACTCTACAGTAGCGTGACAAAGCCGACGCCGAAAGCAATGTGGGTAGGCAGGTGTTTTTTTTTTTATATCGAGACAGTCATTGTTGTTGTTGTGATTGTTGATTTGATAACATTTGCAGGACAAAAATAAAATTGATACAATAAAAAGGGAAGTAGAGAAAAATATAAGACGAAAAAATTAAAATACACAATAGTAAAAGAGGAACTCAAGAATGGGAGTAGACAGTAAAATACGAAAAAAATGTGAGTGTGTGTGTAGGCGAAAAGGAGAATGAGAGGAAATTGTAGGGAGTTTGTTTTGTGTGCAGGACATGTCCTTGTATTTGGGGCCGAGTGTGCCGAGCATTACGAATGGGCTGATAATAAATAATATTATGACATGTTGACAACATTGACGCGGGTGAAAATTACTCAAATATTTACAAAATGTTGCGGAAATTGATGAAAATGTGTAAATGCGTGAAATATGCTTCTCTGTGAATATGTGCGAATGGTTGTGTGTATGTGTGCGTGTTTGTACGAAATATTGGCTGGGGGTGTGTGTGTGTGGGTGTGTTAAAGTGTTTGCGTGTTTGTGTGCACGTGACCGGAAGTCTGTTTAAGGGTTCTATGTTTGTTCTACACGCTCGAGTTGTTGTAGTGGGAAAGATTTTTGGGATTTCAGGCAAAAGTGAAAAGTGGTTGTTGGTGATTTGAACATTTAAATGTTGATGAGACATGAAAATTGGTAAACTCCTTCAACGCGCGCTCGAAATACTTTTGAAAGTTTTAAAGATTTAAACATTCCGGAGAGATGGTATGGTGGTATGCAAGACTAAGGAAATAATAATCGATTTAAATGGCGGACGAGTTGTTTAAATTGTTTCGGATTTTTTTAGTTATAAAAAATTATGAAGAAAATTATTTCTTTTAATAATATTTATTGAAGTTATATATATATATTTGTAATTTTCACAGTTTTTGCAGAATCTTTTGAAATTTGAAAAACTATGTCTTGTTTGTAATTTCAGAAGTAGTTAATAAAAATAATTTTTTTCGCGTTATTTATGACTTTTATTAATAAATTTGAGCAACAAACAACTTTCAAATGCGCTTCTCTCCCTCATCTTGCATACCACATATTGAAAATTTTCTACTGAAACTCATAAAATTCTGTTAGTTCCAGAAGATCTCAAATAACTGCAATGTAATGAAATACTCAGTGCTGCTGAGATGAACATTTAACGACTTATATAATTGTTTATTGCTTCATTCGCAGTTAGTTCGTACATACTTGAGAAGGAGTTGACGCTGTTAACGACGCACAGCAGCAATAAGACGCCGGCAGCAAGACCTGCGGTGCCCATTCTCGTCCACATGTTCGCCTAGCTATGTTCCAAGTCGTTGTCTATTCTTCTTCGTTCCGTTCGGTTTCCTCTCGATTGGTCGACCACTTTATGCGCTGCTGCTTCTGCGGTCGCTTTGACTTATTACTGCAGCTTCAATATATCTTCTGTCAAATATTTCGTCTCGCTGTCCCACACTGTTGAAAGCCAGCAAGTAATATAGCCTGCTTATAGGCGTTAGAGTTGGCGAAAATTCTGCAATGAAAAGCGAGCAAATATATTTCTGTTAAATTAGATGCAATGAAATATGAACATCAAACAAATAAGGAGCGAAAGAAAAATATTCAAAATGTAAACACAAATCTGCAGAAGAATGAAAAATGCGAAAGCATGCTGGAAATGACCAAATAATGTGAAGCTTTGTTTGGCTGTGCTTCTCTTTATACTTTTTGGCAATGTTACTCTTTGCCTATATTGTTGTTGTTGGAGCTCGGTTTGGTAAATATTTACGCTGTCGCATGCGGATGGCTTTCTCTGTTTGTATTTGCACATATTGGTATGACACTTTGACACGCTGCCTTATTTCCGACTGCGGCACTGCGACAAAGCAAATTAATGAAAAAATTTGATTTCTCTGGAATACAAAGCGACTCTGTTCGTTGATTTGTTGTATTGCGACAACTATCAATTTGAGTTTTTCGAATGTCGCTTCAATAAAATTGGCGTTTTCTGCTTTTTGCGATTTCTTGTTTATAAGTTTTACAAAAATATAAAAATTGTGTTTGTCGCTAATTTTTTATGAAGCAAGGAATTAATATTTTATTTAAGTGCTGCTGTCAAGCACAATTATTTCGTATTGCGTACAAATTTTAGCCGGCAAGTTTGTGATTGATGATGACTGCCTCTATTCAATAAAGGGATATTTTTATTAAGGCATTTTTAATTTTGCACCATAAAAATTATTTGGTTTTTAGAATTATTGCATTTTTTAGAAGATATTGGTTGCTAAGGCAATTTTGGTGTTGTCACACGTTATTTGTTATCTTTTCTGGGATCTTTAATATGTTTTAGCATAAATGCTTTCAGAAGAATTTGTGAATAATATTACTGTTTTTTGCTGTGAGTAGGACACAGTTTGAACTAGTCTTTAAACAACAGTAGTTATTCAAGTGTTCAAGTGAAGGTCGTCAAAGACCCTAATTTCAAAAAATATTATATGTTTTAAAGGTACATATTCCACAGACAACCGCATTAGTATAAATATTGGTTATCAATATTATCCACTTGATGTAAAAATATGTTAATTTAAAGTTGAATTCTACATAATTTGAAATAGACCCAAGATCAGAATCGATTTCATTGGAGAAAATTTAAAAAACCAAGAAATAATGTTAACTTCGATGGCACCGAAATTATAATACCCCTCACAAATAAAAAAGTTTCCATACAAGAATTTGATTTTGATCGATCAGTTTGTATAGCAGCTAACTATATGCTATAGTGGTCCAGTATCGGCGGTTCTGACAAAAGAACAGCTTCTTGTAAAGAAAATAACGTGTGCTAATTTTCACATTGATATCTCAAAATCTGACAGAAATACATGGCTCTATTTATTTAGAATATTATATTTTAATGGGTTTCCGACGTTTCGTATGGGTGTTACAAACCTCGTCTTCAGGACATATATATGTTCTGCATGCATCGAAAGTTGTGCGGCAATTCCGCCGTGATAAATTTGATTTGCGTTGAACCAACCTAAAGCTCTTCCTGCGAAATTTTCATTTTCTTTCAGCTGTAGAATTCACGTGTAACATACAAAGCATACAACATACAAATCTGGTGGTTGAAATTAGTTGCAAGAGCAGAAAAAGTGAATAATCGCTCTCACATGTCGGCGCTGATACAAGTCGTTTTAACGACGAAAAACCTTTATTTCATGATTATGTCTTTAAAACGCCAGATTTCATACTAAATGACGGAATTTTGTTAATTTGCTGCAAAAGTAAAGGAAGCAATGACAATTTTCTGGAATCAACATAGATGGAGCTTTCCAAATTTCATATTGGTTAAATTTGTTCAGGGTGGTTAAAATATTAATTTTACCACTAGAAAACCGCTAATTGTACAAAAAAAGTTATGTCTGCTCATTTAAATATGTTTATTAAATAAATTTGAAAATATTTTGTTAACATATTACGTTATTCGAGACTACTTTTTCACTTGTCCAGCTTCGACGTGGTTTAAAATATGTCAATAAAATTTTTAAAAGCGGTTTTGAGTTAAAGAAAAATCTATGTAAATTTATCAGATCTCCAGTTTACAAAAAAGTCTAACAATAAAACCACGCTAAAATTATCCAATAAAGTGACAGGAAGCTAATTGTTTTCATTTTGCATTAAGCATCCGGCATTTGCTGTCATATACATACATACATACACACAAACAAACAGAAAATTACCACAGGGTAGATATGGCGATAATTAAGAGCAATAACTATTTAATTTTATTAAAAATTATTAGGGAATAAGCAAAAATACAAAACACACCGCACGAGGTAATTAAACCACACGATTCCAAAGTAAAATTCGCAATTTATCGTTTGCATGTGTATGTGGGATGAAAAAAATAATGCTGATAAATGACTACAAGCGCCAATCACCACCGAATATTCGGCAATTTCCGCCAGAACGCACACAAAAACTGGGCTCAATGTTGCCTAATGGATTAAACTGCTTGTTGTTGTTACTGATTAAGCGTGAAAATGCCAACAAAAAAACGAATTGTAGCACTTTAATTGAATCTGTCGAAATGTCAATGCGCATTAACCTGTATGTATTAGGCCTAATTATATGCTTTGACAAATGATTGCAGATACAATTTTTTCTTTGTTGTGGCTTTCGGTGGATGTATAATGTTTTTTGTAATATTTGTAGAATCGCAGTAGTAATGGATTAAACAATAGTGGGAGGAAATTTTGCTAAAAAATGTAAAAGTGTGTGGAAGCTGTCTCAGCTGCGTTGAACATGTCTAGACTTCACTCATTCAACAAACTTCTTTTGTGGTGCTTGAGTCACAAAATTTTCACAAAATAAATTCTCAAGAAAATTGTTGACAAAGTAACTTTTCGAGCATTTGAGAGCACTTATGATATAGGACTTTTTGTGATTGTAGTTTCTATAGACAGTTGTGTTAAAAATTCTCTATCAGCATTATTCAAAAGTGAAAAAAAAAAATTTCTTTGAAAATTAAGTTTGTTCCTGTACTCTGCTTTAAGCAATATCGGTTTTTAGTGTGTTAGCGAAATTGCTCGATAGAGCGGACATTCTGGGTTTACTTCTAAAGAGTCTCTAAATAACCCCAATTACTTTATTACAACTATATTATATAAGCTAACACATGTCGTTGCTCTATAGTTGTACTTTTAAGAATGCTTCCCCACAAGTGAGTATGTGACCAGAAATTGTTGCTTTGTTAAGGCAGCGAAGCGCATTCGCCCAGCCACAGCTGTTGTTCAACTAAAAATGCCCCGAAGATATGCACAAGTAGGCTATAAGCAATTTTCTTGGCTTATTTGCATCCACATCCGCTGCCTCGGTTGTCTTGCCACTTAGCTGCTGCTGACAGGAAACGGATGCAAACTCTTCTACAAATTCACTTAAATGTCATTTCGGCTCGAAGCATCTCCCGTTACGGAAAATGTGTGCACAAATTTGTTTTGTTTCGTATCTGCTGGTGTCTGCTGCCACATGGTTAGGCCCTCACAAAAGTTGGCAACGCATAGCATACGTGCCGCAGGCAATAACATACGAATTTCGGAGTTGCCAAAAATGCAAGGCATTTCTCTGGGGGAAGGAAATAGTTTTGCGAAAAATAGGATTTCTAACTGTGCATTTTAAAGTTTTGCAAGATTTTTTGAAAGTATCTTTATATATATGCTGTTTAGTCTTTAGTAAAATTTTCCCTAATTTTTTATGCAACATTTTTATACTAAAATTTTATTTTTTTTTGAAATTTAATTTATTTCAAATTGCCTTTAATTAACATCTCAATACAAAACAACTTGAATTTTTGTTTAACAACTTTGTCAAAAGCAGTTAAGCGGCAAGTTGAAGACAGAAAGGATTTGCCAGCTGTGAAAGGAAAGCTCAATTGAACTGCTAAAAACTCTCGAAGATAATTAAAAGCGTTGCGACATTTTCCTGCTCTGCTCTTTGTGTGAATTTTGTGCGCTCTTTTGTGCAACTTTTCATCCGCATCAAAATGAAAAACGAAAAAGGTGCAAAAACGGATAGTGTGATGGACAGCAAGTACTCAGTTTAATGACAGCTTAAACGAATAGCTGCAAAAATGAGTTTATTTCACTTTTACCGTTCACTTTTTCTGTTTTAGCAGCGGTTTTATATTGAGTAGGGAAGGCTTAAATGTAGCTCTCCATTGATTACAAGAATTTATAAAAATTTACGCTTTAAAATGAAATTAATTTAACGATTCGTATTTAGAAATTTTTTTTGAAGAGGTCGCCAGTCTTGGTTAGTTTTGTCAACGATATGTGTAGGTAGTAGTTACGAAGGTGCGACACGTGGTATGAGTAACATAAAGGCAAATTAAATCGAAGAATACAACTATAATAAAAATAAAAATAATTGTTAGAGACATAAATCCCAAACTAGATTGAATTTTAAGCCATGGAAATAATAAAAATGTACTTTTGCTAAATATGAGTGGATTTTCATCGCCTCTTGTTACTCTTCAAATATGTGTCACTAAGTATGTATACTCTTTGTAAGTTATAAATATGCTCTAAAGTCTTAATATATTATTTACAGAATTCTTATAATTACTAGTTATAGTTATTACCGCCTAAAAAATGCATTAAAAATAAAATATTCTTTACCAATGTAGTCAGCTGTTGAAAAGCAGCATTTAAATAGTAAAATTAAATATATTTGCAGCTGAAAAATATTAATAGAAAAAGTATTGTTATTCAACATAACAGCTAATTAGTATAAAATTTTTTATAATTTCTAATCTTAATTTCTTTATTAAGCAATGAAACTAATTTGCGAAAATCAGCCAAAATCATTGAAGAATTTCACCAGAGCCACCACTGAAGTTTTGACAACAACTATTTCAGCTAGCCCACACCATTCCGGGAGAATTTTGCTTAAATGCACAAATGATTTTATTCGCACTTGGAAAAGTTTGCCATAGCACCGCAGTTGCACGGAAATAATTGCCAGTTTCAGTTGGAGTTG